TTGTATTTTTCTAGAAAGTTGACCATTTCTTCTAGGTTATTCAAGTTTGTTACCATATTTTTCATAGCATTCTCTAATAATTCTTTGTGGTGTCCGTAGTGGTTTTTCCCTTCTCATTTCTGATTCCGTTTATCTGTGTAGACTCTCCTTTTTTCTTTATAAGTCTGAGATAGGGGTTTATCTATTTTATTTATCTTGCTTTCATTGATTTTGTTTCTATTTTCTAGATTTTATTTATTTCTGCTCTAATCTTTATTATGTCCCTCTTTCTACTGACTTTGGCCTTATTTGTTCTTCTTTTTCTAGTTTCGTTAATTGTGAGTTTAGACTGTTCATATGGGATTGTTTTTCTTTCCTCAGTTAGGCCTGTATTGTAGTATACTTTCCTCTTAGCACAGCCTTTGATGCATCCCACAGATTTTGCCATGTTGAATTATTATTGTCATTTGTCTGCATATATTGTTTGATCTCTGTTTTTATTTTGTCATTGATACATTGGTTATTTAGGAGCATGTCATGTAGCCTCCATGTGTTTGTGGGATTTTTCATTTTCTTTGCATAATTTATTTCTAGTTTCATACCTTTGTGGTAGGAGAAACTGGTTGGTACAATTTCAATCTTTTTTAATTTACCAAGACTCTTCTTGTGGCCTAGTATATGATCTATTCTTGAAAATGTTCCATGTGCAGTTGAGAAGAATGTGTATCCTGCTGCTTTTGGGTATAGAGTTCTGTAGAAGTCTGTTAGGTCCATCTGTTCTAATGTGTTGTTCAGAGCCTCTGTCTCCTTACTTATCTTCTGTCTGGCTGATCTGTCCTTTGTAGTGAATGGAGTGTTGAAGTCGCCTAGAATGAATGCATTGCATTCTGTTTCCTCTTTTAATTCTGTTAGTAATTGTTTCACGTATGTAGGTGCTCCTATGCTGGGTGCATAGATACTTATAATGGTTATATCCTCTTGTCGGACTGGCCCATTTATCATTATGTAATGTCCTTCTTTGTCTCTTGTGACTCTCTTTGTTTTGAAGTCTATTTTGTCTGAAACAAGTACTGCAAGTCCTGCTTTTTTTCTCCCTATCAGTTGCACGAAATACCTTTTTCAATCCCTTCACTTTTAGTCTGTGTATGTCTTTGGGTTTAAAGTAAGTCTCTTGTTTGCAGCATACAGATGGGTCTTGTTTTTTTATCAATTTATTGACTCTGTGTCTTTTGATTGGTTCATTCAGACTATTTACATTTAGGGTGATTATCAGTAGGTATGTACTTATAGCCATTGTGGGCTTTAGATTAATGGTTACCAAAGGTTCAAGGTTAACTTCTTTACCATCTAAGAGTCTACCTTAAATCACTTATTACACTATTATAAACACAATCTGAAGATTCTTCTCCCCCCACCTTCTTTTTCTTCCTCCTCCTCTCTTTATATGTTAGGTGTCATATTCTGTACTCTTTTTCAATCCCTTGATTGACTTTGGGGGTAGTTGATTTGATTTTGTATTTGCTTAGTAATTAACTGTTCTACTTTCTTTACTGTGGTTTTATTACCTCTCATGACAGCTATTAAACCTTAGGAACACTTCCATCTATAGCAGTCCCTCCAAAATACACTGTAAAGATGGTTTGTGGGGGGTAAATTCTCTCAGCTTTTGCTTATCTCGAAATTGTTTAATCTCTCCTTCAAATTTAAATGATAATCTTGCCAGATAAACTATTCTTGATTCGAGGCCCTTCTGCTTCATTGCATGAAATACATCATGCCACTCCCTTCTGGTCTGTAAGGTTTCTGCTGAGAAGTCTGATGATAGTCTGATGGGCTTTCCTTTGTAAGTGATCTTATCTCTCTCTCTGGCTTCTTATAATAGTCTATCCTTATCCTTGATCTTTGCCATTTTAATTATTATATGTCTTGGTGTTGACTTCCTTGGGTCCCTTGTATGGAGAGATCTGTGTACCTTCATGGCCTGAGAGACTATCTCCTTCCCCAAATTGGGGAAGTTTTCAGCAATTACTTTCTCAAAGACACTTTCTATCCCTTTTTCTCTCTCTTCTTCTTGTGGTACACCTATAATGCGAATATTGTTCCGTTTGAATTGGTCACACAGTGCTTTTCAGTATTATTTCATTCTTAGAGATCCTTTTTTCTCTCTGTGCCTCAGCTTCTTTGTATTCCTCTTCTCTAATTTCTATGTCATTTATCATCTCCTCCATTGTATCTTTTCTGCTTTTAAAACCTTCCGCTGTATGTTTCATTTCTTATACTGTGTTCCATAATGATTGAATCTCTTACTGAAATTCATTCCTGTATTCTTGAATATATTTCTATACATCCATAAGCATGCTAATGATTTTTATTTTAAAATCTCTTTCATGAAGATTCATGAGGTCCTTTTCATTTGACTCTTTCTCTGGTGTATTCACAGTTTTGCTTTGTGCCAGGTTCCTTTGCGTTTCATATTTGTATGTGGCGCCATCTAGAACCACCCCAAAGCTCTACTCCCTGGAGCTGCTCAGCCCTTGGAGTAATGTCCAGGGTTGCAGGGGAGTGGTGTTGGTGCCTGGGGGGAAGAAAGAGTTGTTTCCTGCTTCCTGGCTGCTATGCCTGTCTCCACTGCCAGAACTAGTGGGCCAAGCACACAGGTATAAGACTCTATCTAGGCTTTGCGTTTGTAGCTGCTGTATGTGAAGCTTCCTTCTGGCTGGCCTAATGCCAGGGTAGGGTTTTCCAGTTTGCGAGCCAGGTGGGGCTGCCCAGGAGGAAGGCACAGTAGGCTGCGTATTACGGAGGGGGGCCTTGGACCTGCATAGACAGCCAGGGAACTGGAGCACCTGAAGATCATGAAAGTTCCCAACCTGCTTGGCAGAGTGCACCTGGAAATTTTGTCTACCTGTCCTTTCTCCTGAGCAGTAAGCTCTGTGCAATCCTTGCCTCTTTAGCAGCCCTCTCACTGTTAGGAAGTCTCTCAGACTGCCTGCCTTTCTTTTGTCCCTGAGCAGCTGGATATGGATCCCTGTTTTCCATAAGTGGCTGGAATCTCAGTTAGCTTTCCAACCCCCCTAATCATGAGAGCACCATGAACTGTAGGTTTGTTCTCCCAGGGCAGATCTCCAGAGCTAGATGTTCAGCAGTCCCAGGCCTCCACTCACTTCCTGCTCTGTTTCTCTTCCTCCTGCCAGTGAACTGGAGTGGGGGAACGTCTTGGGTCCCACCCAGCTATGGCTTTGGTACGTTACCCTGTTCCATGAGGTTTATTCTTTTCTCGAGGTTTATGCAGTCTGACACAGCCTTCTTTCCTGTTGCTCTTTCAGGATTAGTTGTATTAATTATATTTTTGTATTATATGTGGTTTTAGGAGGAAGCCTCTGTCTCACCTCTCATGCCATCTTTAATCCTCTAATATTCCTTATTCATTTTAATTGTACAGTAATCCATTCTATAGATCTGCATCTTATATTTAATCCCCTATTGATGGATACTTGAGTAGCTTCCAATTTCTTACTAATACATACAGTACTGAAGTAAATACACATGCACATAGTTACATTGGATCTCTATAAAACAAATTCTTAGACTTATACTCTAAGCATTTAATAGATATTGCCAATTTACCCTCCAAAAATGATCCTGTAGAAATGCTTCTTCCCTTACCTCTCCAAAAATTGAAACATCAGTCATTTAAAACTGACAGACTAATAAATATATTACATTATTTAAATTTCCTTAAGTATTAATGAAGTTGAATATCTCTTCATGTTTACTGGCTGGCTTTAGTTTTGTGGGACTAATTGCTGTCTGAGTCTGGAACTTTATCTAATGCAAGCTAATAAATTCTCCTGTTAGTGTTTCATGGATGCTGGCAGAAGGCATGAGTCTTGGGTCCAAAACAAAGAATATTACTACTCATGGCACAGCAAGCAAAGTGACCATCATGTTTGCATTGGTTCGTCTTGCCCTTGAGTCCCACGAAGATGGTGCAGAAGGACCCCCAGGGGGATGCCATGCATGTAAAACAGATACATGGCATAGCTGAGGAACATGGAGCTTGTCAAATCCACTTGTTTTAGAGAAATTCTGCTTTTTGTCCTGGAGAGAGCCTTTACCTCATCCCTCAAGGTTGCTCTCTGCAAACACAACCTGTGAAAAGATCCCAGTTAACAGCTTTCAGGGTCTTACATCCTATGCACACTTAGCAAGAACATGATGGAATGTTCAGGGCCATGGTTAATCACCTCTTCCAAAAATTGCCTTTACTATTTTTCTGTATGCTTCCTTATTTTCTCATTGATTTGTAAGAGCTCTTTGCTATCATAACAACTGTTCCTACATCTGTCATTGAATATTACCTGTCTTATCTACTTTGCTTTTTTTTATTTGATTTTGTCATTAGTGTGTGGGTTTTTTTCCCATCCATGGGTTTCATGCCACCCATAGAAAAGGCTGCCCTATTATGATAAAAACAGTAGCTCATTTTTTCTTTTATGCTCTCAGTTTTAGCCTTTAACATTTTGAGCCTTTTGTAATTTACTTTCATGTAGAAATGATATAGGGACCCACTTTGGTTTTACCAAATGGCAGGCTAGTTCTTGCAACCTCATTTCCCAACTTGCCTCTACTTGTTTGAAAAGGGACCTTTATTACCTATTAAAATGTATCTTATACTATTTTTTATTCTGTTCTTCTAATCTATATGTTTCTCTTTTATCTATGTAATCTATATGTTTATCTCTGGCCTTATCTTTTAATCACCATAGCTTTATAGTACACTTAACACCTGGTAGAATTTTGTTTCCCATTGTTTCTCTTTTATTTAAAAACTTTCTTGGCTTTTTAAGGTAGGTAAACAGGGTGAATATATGAAAAATTCTAAACCTGTCTCTTATTACCTTATTCCCTTTTAAAAGTTTTATTAATGTTATAACTTTTGTGGTTTAATTTGCATTTCAACAAATATAAAAACATAGTTTCTATTTGCAACTTCTAAAATCTTCTTCATTTTAATATAGATTCCTTGTAGTTTGGAATACTGGGATGAACTCCAGAAGGTTTTCGTTGCATTTCGAGAATTTAGTCTGTCTGAAAGCAAAGTGTGTGAACTGCAGTTGCCAGATATCAATCTTGTGAATGACCAGAAGAAACTGGTATCCTCGGATCTTTGGAGAATTGTCTTGAACAGCAGTCAGAGTGCAGCTGATGACCAAAGGTAACTCAGTAAAAAATGAAATAGTGGCATTGTACAAGGAACAGTCGTTCAGTCATCCTATCCAGTGACCCCTCACTTGGCTTTACCTTAGCTGTCTTGCAGCTGCCTCTGTCTGAATCACAGGTGAGAACCGGGAGGCAAGCTAGAAACTAAAAATCCTGTTTTACTCATAATATAGCCCTGTGAGCACTCACTAAGAATGTGTTCCTTAAATATAAAAAGAACACAGTGCCAAAAACAAACTGCAAAAAAAAAAAAAAATCCAGTCATCCTGAATGAAAAAGTATAGAAGAAAAGAGCTGTACACACCTCAATATTATCTTAATGACAGTAATAAATATATCTAATGATAACCTTGGGGCATTAAAAGAAAGGTCAAATAAATTTAATTATCTTCTAAAAAGATAGATTTTGGAAATATTTCCTTCTTAAATGGTGTTTAAAAAACTTTAAGTGACAAACCTCCAGACATTAGAAAAAGTTGGCTAACCAAAGTAATTCATACCCAAAGGATTTCAGATGGCTGAAGTTTTATCCAGCTCTGGAATCTGTTTGGCCCTAGTGAATCTCTAGAGCTGTAGGCTTCAGGTACTCTGAATCATGTCCCCACAACTTCCTGTTCCACAGCTGCTAAAGGATACCTGGTTAGTGGCAAAACAGGGCCAGATTGTCCCTGTTTCCAATGTTTGTCTGCTTAATACATCCAATTACTTGGAGTAGAGAAAAAAGTGGCTTCAGCAACTTATTCTTTAGCATTTGTTGTAGTTTACATTAAAAGCCTTTCTGTTCATGCTCCCTAAAATACAAGAAAAAGACACTGAATTATAATCAGTGGAAGAGTTTTTTGGGTCATATGATATGATGGTACTGTGGGCCTATGCCCATCTTGCTGTATACAACTTTCAATGTCCTACCTTCCAATTCTCTTGGTGAATTGGCCTTAGCATTATCTTACTCCTTTTTATGTTCTTTTTTTTTTCTCCAAACAACATCTGACACCAACAGAAAAAAACCCACAATACCAAGACCCTGTATATTAACTGGTTTTCTTTTACCTTTATTTTTGCCATTATAGGTTATAATCATAGGACATCATTTTGTATTCTGATTCATACTTTACATTATAAATAATGTTTTCTCTTTTTTTATTAGTGAATGATTTCTCTTTTTTTATTAGTAATAATATGTATTCATTGGAGAACAGTTAGGAAAACACCACCACCCATAATCATACCACACTGAGATAACCTCTGCTAACATTTTAGTCTGTAGCCTCAGTTTTTTTCATTTATTATTGTTCATGCTTAATACTAACATTATATACTCTGTATTTCCTATTTCTAGGTCATTTGGCCTCTCTCCTTCCCAATAAATTACCAAGTAATGTACAATTAGTGAAAATAGAGGAGTGGAGTCTTGATTTTACCTCTATGTAATGCAGCAAAACAGAACACCTACCCTGTGAGGAGTAAGCAGATTAGATTGCCTAAAAGAAAGATTGCCTATTCTAAGTATAGATTTATCTAATCAGAAACCAGGAAATCTCAGAAAATAGAGCTATATATATATAATTAAATTGATTTTTTTAAATCTAAGTTTCATTAATAGTACCAAGTTAGAAGTCATTTCTTGATTCTAATTATGAAAGAATGCATTTTCATCATTGAAAGAAGAATTTTAGTCAAGATTAATTCCTCTGAATCTGAAACATTAATAAAAACTGCTTTTGTGGTAAGGTTAACATCACAGAAATGTAGAACTTTAAGGATTCAGGCAATTTTTCACCAAGGTTTTGACATTGTAACCACAGATCTTTTGTCTTCACCTTGGATTTTTCCACTTACCTAATATTTCACAACTGATTTTGCTTTAAATTGTTTGACACTAACCATTTTTCAGATAGAAATTAGTATTAATGTCATTAAATTTAAAGACATGATTTAAAAGTCAACACAACACATTCCTAAGACAATTTTTGAAGGAGACAATAAATGAATTTTATCCATTTTCCAGAAAGAAAACATCAATGCTTTATTAATGTCAACGTTTCATTAAAGAAGAAAACTGCTACAGTTAGCTCCAGTATATTCTTCTTAAGAAATCTAGAACTAGACAAAAACCTGACATGATTAGAGATTGTCTTATCATAAGTAATAGTCTCAGTAGTTTGAGGAGGATATGCATTAGATTGTTGCATTCCGGGAAGAAAGTTCATAAGAATAAGTCCATGAAGCTTAATCTTTAAAAAAAGGCAGTTTGGCCATAATTGGCAAGAGGTTGCAACAGTATAGGGAAGGTCAGTGGTAATGGCACCACAGAAGCACCACTTAACAGAGAATTTCAAATTAGAAGACCTGAGTTTAAGTCCTGGCTCCATCACCAACTAGTTATTTGGCCTTAAAAAACGGATTTTTAAGTTGAGACTGTAAGAAATGAATAGGACCTAAGTGAGAGATGGCAAGTAGCCTTCAGTACAAAGGATGATAAATAAAAGATTCAATTAAACCATCATCTGTTTATCCCATACAAGTGTATTATCTTTCATTCAATTCCTGTGTGTTTGTAATAATTACATTCCACTATCTTTAACTACAGGTTTGCTTGACCATATGCAAATGAATGAGTGGTAATTATGTTTTTTTGAAGGTAGCATTTGAAATACAGTAACTTCAAATTTAGTTTCCACAATAGTATTAATCTTTAGCAGACTTCTGTTTGTTGAGCAGTGTACTTGGAGACAAAAGATAAAACCTTTAAGTCTTGATCAGGATATCCATTGCAGCTTATTTAGCTTTAATCGCATCATCTATATGTTTGCCCACACGCACTGCCCATGCTGAAGCCTGTGTAAATCACCTTCATCAGTAGGTCCTGACAAGAAACAGATGGCACCCTCAAACTAGGTGGTGGAGGAGAGTTCAGTGAAAGGACTTAACAAAAGCGTGGGCCTGGCTGAGGGGTAGTAGAGTGCCCTGGAGCAAGGAACCCTGGGGAACCATCCCACTCTTAGGCCTGAAGGATCCAGGTGACAGCGCCTTTACCAAACTCAGAGCTGGTGGTTATACCTGCTTCTAAAAGAGGGAAACAGTCATACATGGAGGTAACGCCAGGAGATCCAGGAGAATACATACCCCTACCCTACTCACCTGCCTTCTTACTCTGGTGGGCACCTCCCACTGGCTGAACCAGAGGACAAGCCAGAGGACAAAGCAGCTTGTTGTACAGTCCAGAGGCAGAGAAGAGGATGGAGAAGGGTAGAAAGTAGATCTAGAAAGCAAACAGAAAATAGCCAGCAAGCACACACTCTCTTTAGAATTTACACATTCTTACTGAGTGACTGGCCATAGGAGGAAAAAAAAGGAAATGGAGTGGTGGACCCAAGTCTCAGGCCTTGGACCACCCTGCTCCTGCTAGGATTCCTGGGTTTGATATCAATTACATGTCTTCTGATGGACCAGAGCAACTTTCTCCTTTGTTTCTTCCCATACCCTCACCCCAAACGGCTAACTCCAGAAGTATGTGGCTTTGTGAAGCCACATGAAGTATGGGCAGTTGTCATGTAGGACAATAATGTCCAGTTAACTTCATTGCAAGTTGTTTGATGATAGTGTTGAGCTCTGTTCAGCTGTGCCAAGTCTTTGGCGGTTTGTTGTTCATATTGCATGGTCATTTTTTCACAACATTAAAACCTGTGAGAGTAGCTTGCTTACAGTCCCCACCTGCAAAATGCCAGTTCATAGAGGAAGGCATCTTGGAAAGGGAAATGGCTTGAGGGTATGTGGCTCTTTCTTATGCAGTGAAAATTGACACTCTGCTGAGTTTTTGGATTACTTTCATCTTTGGATATGCCAAATAAATTTTTTTCTCCTATCCCTAAAGATTCCATAAAAGAAGTGACTGTCCATTCATATTTGGTAATCTTTGAGATAGTGGTCCACAGCTTTTTTATGTGGGGAGATGCTTTTCATTCCCCAAAGCCTTGATCCTTGCATATATGGACAGTGTAGGAATTAGAGAAAGCACGTGTGGTCGATCCCTGGATCATTTCTTTTCTCCACAAGTTGAACTTTCTCCTACGAAAAGGTGACCGTGGCCTCCATATGTTGCTCCCCCCCATTCAGCTACTTGGACCCACACTTCTACACGTGCCTAAATTAATTGGATACCATTTTAAAAAATTGTTTGTCTTCCGTGAACCAGTAAGACATAAACTTTGACATTTAGAACTGCTTTCTCACCTGTGTTTCCGGTCATACAATGATACAGTCAGGATTTATCCAGAAAATTCTTTCTTAAAGCTAAACATAAATTTCTGCCTTCTCTTCCTTAGGTAGAAGGAATGCTTGCATTTTTCCCCAAGCGGCTTTTTAAAGCCTTTTACTACTTCCTTTTAGTTGGGGTTTGAACTCTATGTAATAACCCCTCCTGGGAAATCATCTTTTGCTGGCTTCTCCCTTACACATTCCTGAGAATGCTGTGTCCTCAGGCTTTTCCTCAAGTCTAGGCTGATGGTATTAACAAAGTCTCTGTGTCATGGTGCTTATTCTCTAAACCAGAGAGATTACTCCCTTTCTTTTTTTTTAAGTCTGATATAAATGAGTCCTTTACCTAAGGGGCCCTTGAAGCCAATTTTTTAAAACCATAGGTTGTAACCCATTAATGGGTTGTGAAATCAGTTTAGCAGGTTGCAGCCAAAAAAAATTTTTTAAGAAAATAGAAAATATCAGTGTAGAAAGAACAAATATGTATAATTTCACTTATATGAGATCCCAAGGGTAGTCAGATTTATAAAGATAAAGTAGAATGGTGGTTGCCAGAGGCTGAGGGAGAGAGAAATGGGGAGTTACTGTTTAAGGGATATGGAGGGAACTGTATAATTTTTAAATGGTTAAAACTGTAAATTTTATGTTATATATATTTTACAATTAAAAAAAATTAAAGTGTATCATATTTTCAGTAAATCTCCCCCTCCCCCCACTTCTCATTTTATCTGTGTACTAGGTTTCAATTAAAGTGTATTTCTTATCTTGGGTTAAAGTTAAAGCATTTCAAACACGATGATTGTGAGGGGTAGAGAGAACATGGGGCAGCAGGTACACACGTCCCCCCAGTGCACTCTCCGCACTTAGGATGGACAGAGAAGTGTTTCTGCAGCAGGCGGGAGAGCGTTGCGGTAAACCGGTGCTGAGGAGTATAGCGCTGAGGTGAACGTCAGTGTGCCCTTCTGAGATCCCTCTCTTGGGAGCTAAGCGTAATCAAGGACAGTTAACAGTAAACCGAGTAACCAGTATGGCACTGTTTCCCAGCCAGAAAAAGAGGGAAGGATTTCTTTCTGTTATGGAGTGTTAGGCGTTATGCTAGCAGTTTCTATGCAGTATATTACTAATATTCAACATGTAGGTCCTGTTACTGTACTTACTTTACAGATAAGAAAACAGATTTAACTAGTTGAAATAACTTACCCAAGATTACAGTATAAGTAATTGCAGTGTGAACATTTTCACCCAGGTTCTATTATCCCTGTCCTCCTTTGCCTAGTCTCTAAGCTATACTATGAAATCCTACTACCACAGAGGGGTCCAGAGAAAAGCTCAAGCCTTCATCTGTCAAGTCTGATCACGGTTGGGTACCTGCAGTGCTGCAGGGGTTCATCTCAGTATGACACACAGGGGTGAATTTTTAAGGATTATGCCTCAGTCCCCACAGTGCCTGTGGATCAACCAAGCTCTCAATTTAGAAAAACATTCCTTGGTGAAAGAATTGATACCCCTCTGTAGGTCACCATGGCAGTTGATAAAGTAACCCATTGGTAAAATGAAGGTACGGTGTGTAAAACTCCTGCTGTATTTTCCTACTTTTTCAAATAGTTCCATTATTCTAAAAATTTAAGTTTCTATTAAGAATTTATTAATACTTGAACAAACTATTGAATCTTGAGTTCTGTGTATTACTATTTGAGAGACCTTGTCCCTAGGAGCCATTTTACTTTCTTCTCTGTTTCTGTTACACACCCCATGTATTACATTTTTCCTTTTGCTATCTGGATCAGATTAAAGCCAGGAATTAAGGAAATCATGTAAATTGTATACTTAAGGAAATTATGCAAAGGTAGCTACTCTAAATATCCCTAGTAGGAACCTCACTCTCATATTTATAGCTGTTTAGCTCTATTACACTGAGATTTTTTTAATCCTTATGTGTAAGGTAAGCAAATATATATGCTTTTATCATATGTAATGATCAAATTAAGTTGAGTATCGAAATATTATTTTTGTGATTCAAATTATAGTTAAAAAATATTCATATTTTACATACCATACTAATTTTGTGTTTAAGAAATTTTAATTTTGATATGACTCCAATTTTTAAGTAAAAGTCTAAATTTTTAAATGTAAATTAACATAGTAACCATTTTAGTCAGGATTTCAAGATTGAAAGAATATTGCTGACTACTTGAGTATGTTTGGAGTTACAATATATACTTTAAAATATCTCTTTTTAAAATTAATTTGTACATTTAACTTAGGAAAAGTGAAGAATTAATTTGTTGTAAATAAAGATTGTGATTACTATGTTTTAGCAAGGTTTTTCAATATGTTATAGTATCTGATACTCTCAAGAGAGAAAATAAATCTTGCAAAATCTCAAGAGTGTCAAAAATTACAGCTGACAAGAAAAGTGCTTCAGATAAATCCCTCAAATAGTATACTCACTGTTTTAAAAGTGATCTCATAGAACTCTCACCTGGATTTTTAAGAATATTTTGACTAATATTGTACCCTATTTCTAACAACTTCCTCAAGTAATATGAGTTCATATGTATAAAACACTGTACAACTAATAAATTTTGCTCTTTCTGAATAAATACAAATTATAATTTTACCTTGCCAATGAAATCTTTTACTTGTAACTTCACATATAAATTCCTAGAAAGCTGTTTAGTGTGCACATTCATAAGAAGTTTTAAGAATATACTTAGCTGCATTTTTGCATGCAACATTTAGTCAGTGACATACTGCCCCAGAGTTTGTGTTTTCTTTGTATGCAATGGAGATTTACTAACACTGCAGTAAGTACCACCACGTAGCTATAAACTCCTTGAAGTTAAATGCTCCATAAATGTGTTGGAATACTCCTAGCTTTCATTTTCACCAGCCTTTTCACAACCTTTTTTAAAACTCAGCTGAAGAGTCACACTCTGAGAATCCTGCGTGATTCACCCCATACCATTCTTAGTTCCTTTTATGTTTCCACTCTGGCAGCACTTGTGACTTTCCTATTCCTGGGTGGTTGTTCTGTTTTATAATGTTTCTAAATGTCCACATATTTGTATCACCAGTTAGACTGTGAGTTTTTTGAAATCCAAGAATTTATTTCTTTAATTTTTCCTGTAATAGTTCTACTGAGGACACTCTAAGTCCGTGTTTGTTCTCTAGACTTCTCATGGATTTGTGAGCCAGGGTACCATAGATAGAGAGCAAATTTCAGATTTGGGAGGAAGAGAGTAGAAGAGGAGGAGGAGGAACAGAGCAGCATCTGGTCAGTGGCCCACAGTTAACAGAGGGCACCGTGTCCCATCCCAAACCCCAGCTCCCATGCTTCTGCTGGCACTGAGGCAAGGCAGCTCAGTAGCATGTTTCCCATGCACCCAGCAGCCGCCATGGACGAACTTCCGCCCTCCTACAGATGCCTTCTGTACTCCCTTTAATCAGATCTTATTTGTACAAAATGGTGCTGGGAGGACAGGCAGGTGAAGAGAAGACCCACGCACTGCAGTTATCCATGGGGCCTTGGCTCTTCTGGCCACAGTCGTAACTTTCATGGCAACTAATGTGCAGTGGGTATACCCCCATAAAGGGTATTGACTGACTCATGGGGTAGTATGGAATAGCTGATCTGGAAAAATAAAGCACAAATGAAACATTTATGATAGCACTGAAAGTATTGGATTTTTTCAACAGCAGAGTCATTTCTCTGAACTGTGCTAAACTACTATGAGAACAACTTATCCATAAGTTATGTGAGATGAGGATGGAAGAAAGTTGGATTGGAGGTAGGTCAACATAGCCTACAGTTTGAGGATTGCTTTGAAGTTTGTCCACTAATAACTCATAGAGTATAATCAAAAATTAAAAACTTAATTTTTAAAAAACAACTAGTTTATGAGTCAATACAGAAGATTTGATAGTAACATATTGACTATAGGATTATAAACTGACTAGGCACTTTAAAACCCATACAGAAAAACATTTCATTTATATGATACTGGGAAAGGTAAGCTATTGGACTAATTTTATTACTTATTTCCCATAGCTCTGCAAGTGAATCTGGTTCTCAAAGCACTTGTGACCAACTTGTAACCCCACCAGCCCTGGCTGCATGTACCAGAGTCGACTCCTGCTTTACCCCGTGGTTTGTCCCATCTCTCAGCATTTCCTTCCAGTTTGCTCACCTGGAGTTCCGTCTTTGTCATCACCTTGATCAACTGGGCACAGGTAATCTCTTTACTTTAGCATCAGAATAACATCCATTTAAAATACCTATTGTTTTGTCTTGAATGTTCTCAAGACACAATTCCTCAATTTTACCCTGGTAATTTATTTTCTTGAAGTAAAAAGTCTGGGAGGGGTTGCCATTTTGTGTACAACAGTGTCAGCGGTGTTCCACAGTGCTGTGATGGCTCATCATTTCCCCCACCAAAAGCTCCTTGGCTGCTCATCACCACCCACATGGTGGTGGAAATTTTAGAAGTGCCATTCATTTCTCCCAACAACACTGGCAAAGTTATTCTGAGGTTGATTTCATGTAACAGGTGTATCCCTTACTTTTGAACCATCATATACACCTGTTATATAGCTTTCCAGTTGTATGGAACTGACATGATTTTGCATGCTTCCTAATGAGAATTCTCAAGAAGTTACAAAAATTGCAGGTTTTCCTGTTATCCCAATTACGATTTTTTTGAAAGAAATGTATCTGTTTTTGTTCTGTATCCTGAGTCATTACATTAATGACAAATAGATCCCCAAAGTACTTGATTTCAAAAATATCATTACCTTCTATAAAAGACAGGCAAATTCTCCATTAATTTAAAGGACTAGCATTTTTAAAAGTTTGTAAGGTAGAAGATTTAATTTTCCCATATACCAAAAGTGGCCTCTATAAACTTGCTTAGTTTACATGAATAATTATTGCTAGAAGTCTGTACAACCTTGTCTAGTTAATACATTTTGATCCAGGTATTAGATTTTCAAGCTACATGTAATGGAAAAAGGAAAAAAAATAAGATAAAAAAATCAGACTATAACTAAACACAGCTGCTGTTAAGCATCTTGCCTTTTCAGCAAAAATGGAGTTTAATCTGCTTTTTCTAACTCTCTTTGAGTCATGTTTTTGTTTTTGAGATTTGGTTGGTAGATAAAGAGCATTTCTATAAAACTCTCCTTAGGTATTTGCCTCCTCTTCATTTTATTTGTTGTCTTCTGCAATCAGATTTTTGTCTGGGAAAGTGAGTATAACCTTCGGAGAATATATACACAAGAGACCTGCTGAATGAACAGTTTTTTTTTGCAAATATCAAATGGTAATTCAAATATTGGGACATCTCCAGGAGAATGTTTAAATTTATTAAATGCAAACATTGAATCCCATAACCAGAAAAGTGAATAAATTAAATGTCGTTTCTTTATTTCCATAAAATATTGACTCATCAGTTGCTGTTTTTCTTGTTTACTTCTTCAACAGCTCCACCACAATACCTGCGGCCATTTCTTTCTGATAAAAATGTGCCATCAGAACTAGAATACATGATTGTTTCCTTCAGAGAACCACACCTGTATCTTCGGCAGTGGAACAATAGTTCTACCTGTCAGGAGATCCAATTCTCAGCTCAAGCAGACTGTAAACTTCTGGAGTGCAGAAATGCCACGATGCAAAGCATGGTGAAGCCCTTCAGCATCTTTGGACAGATTGCAGTTTCCAGTTATGCAGTAGAAAAGCTGCTTGACTGCACCATCACCATTGACTCTGTATTTGTAAACTTTGGGCAACATGTAGTTCATTCTCTCAGCACTGCAATACAAGCTTGGCAACAGGTATGCACATTCTAGAACAGTTTACAGTTTGTCCGCATTTGATCTTTTACTAGGCACTCTGTTATCACTTCTAATTGTAAGTTAAGCACAAATAAAAATGCAAGAGAATGAAGAATTTGATGGGCACCATAATATTTGGGGCCTTCTCTGTTTTGGCAAGGTATAATGCATATTATTTTTAAAAACTTTGGAGAATTTGGGTTCTCTACACATGCATCAGAGATCATGCCCACATTTTTGTGACTAATGTACCACATCTGTGTGGAAAGTAACATATTCCCAGAAATTTTTTCCAAGTATTATGGCTTCAGTTTGCCAAGGCTTCAACTGAGCTATGTATCAAATTGCCTGAGCATCTCCCTCAGAAATGAAGAACCTGCGTGAGCCTTGCTGATAATAAGCATTCCATCTTTCCAAAGAGGAAAATCAGTGAGAGGAAATATGTGAGCATAACGTGATCTTAGTCTCTCTCCCGCCAATCATTAGGCCATTTAGATCAAGTAAAAAGCACTTGATAATAGATTTTTTTAATCACTTGAAGACTCTTGATGAACAATTTTTTACTCTTCTCCCTTGTCAGAAATTAGCCATATCAAAAAGGGGGTGAAGTATATAGTCTGTGCTGAATGGCAAATTTAAGGTGAGGAACCTGTCCATGTCCACTAGCATGAAAATAATTTCATAGGATATTTGGACAATAAGCTCAGCAATTGAAGAGCAAATCACTTCTGTGTCCCTTACTGATTTTCAGTATAATATTTTATTTCTGTAAAGTTTATGTTGCTATTTAAGCTGAGACATTTTCTCATATTTTGTATGTTGTGCATATATTTGTGTGTAGCTGGCTTCCCAAGAGAAATGGCCCTTCATCCTTCACTGACCTCCTGTGGAGACAGGAGCAGTGAAGACAGGAGAGGCTTGAGGTCTCTAACTTAAGAATTTTTATGGGAATAAACTCTTTTCTTTATATGCATGAAGACCTATACACGACTAAGGAATTAATTACCTAACATGGCACTACAATAGCAAAGGGAAAGAAGATAACACATCTGTTTTCTATTTTGAAATTCTTTTTTAAGGGCATTCCATGGTTTTCTTGTTGCAGAGGACATGCGTAAAATAAGAGCTAGTGTGATCTAAATCTTTGCAGCTGGTTCAAATAGCAATGTGAAAAAAACCTCTATGGCTCCAATTTCTGTTTTTTGTCATATTTTGAACAATGCATTTAATAAAAAACAAACTTAGAAAATATAAAAGAGTCACTGATAGAGCATTTAAACCTAGGATATTTTTGTCTTGGTATCAGGGCCATTATAAGAGGGCTCATGTGTAGCAACTACTGCAAAATGGCCTTCAGAAATATCGGTTTCCTCCCAGGGTAAAAATACTCTCTTAGACACAGCTATACATAAAAATAAAATACGGTGTATAAATATTTAAATGCTTTAAACCACATCAGAGTGTGAATGACTGGCTAACACAGTGCCTTGAAGGAATATTCTGCGTTTTTTTAAAAATGGAATTGTATATTTGATTAAGTAGAGCCATATGTCACGTAGCATATTGCTGACAGGTACATTCTATGAATAGTTGGTTCTGATTTATACAGGGATTTGGCAGTGTTAACATGAGCCACAGGAGGATATACTTCTGTAATTGTTGCTGTAATTTTCTTGTTTCCTCCCATGTCAAGGGTACTTGCCACCAAGTTTTAATGTGGTAGGCACCTAACCCTGTGGATTCTAAAGTAAATATAAAAATGTACTACTTTGAAATTATAGGACATCTGACATTGGAAGGGGCTTATAGAGGGTTGTTAAATTCATTAGTTTCCAAGATGCTCTGAATGTGGCTTATTCCCTTTAAAGGAGGAAACTTGATTTCCCAGGCTTGGATTTTATTGTGTGTATAACACTCAAATACAGTATAATTATTGCCAATGAGAAATAAAAATTTAATAAGAAGGATAAGTGATTTGAGTTCTCCACATACTTTTTATCAGATTCGTATCTGAGAGAAGAAGTCTTTCCTATCCAGTGTGGATGGGCCAGACAGTTGAAGCATGAAACAGTTTGGCCTTTCACCTTCAGATCCCAAGTTCAGGATTAACAGAAGCCTTCATCAGTGTCTGACTTCCCTGACTGTAGATTATTTTTTCTCTTTTGTAAATGATAAAGCCACTTGTAGTTTGCTTTATATTTCTATGTCACATTCCCACCTTTAGACAAAAGAGCATTTAAATGGGATTTTTATATGAAAATCAAGGTTATGCTCATGTGTCTTATCTTACACCAAAGTGATGTCTGTTAAAGTGCAAATGCCAGTACAATACTCCAGCTCAAATCTTAAATATAAATAAGCCATCTTTTAATTACAAGTCTGAAGGAGCATTCTGAGGTGTAACCTATGTGATATCATATAAAATCTGTATGAATTTTTTTATACAATACCAGAATTTAAAAGATTCCAAGATATGCTTAAACTTCTTCCTGTTCCAATGAACTCCACAGATGAAGGAGCATTAGAGGAACAATTACCTAAGGACTTTGAATATCCTTTAGAAAAATGTAAACAACCGCCTTGTGTTCTTTCATTTATATTTTTTCTAAAACCGTGGTCATTTATTAAAGGTCAGTTTTTAGAGATGAGAAAAGTAATGTGATTTTTTTTTTCTATTCAAGCTCCATCTGGTAACTTAACCTCTTGGTTACCAGCAAATTGATCACAATTCATTCAGAAAACTGAATTTCAGTCTCAGGATGTTGAAGTAGGAGTTTGGAATTATATCCTTTTCTTCATGTTTATACTCTTGGACCTAAAGGAGAGAAAAATGTTTACAAGGAGAGCAGTTAATGTTGATTATATAATGCGAAATGGAAAAATCTCATCAAAACTAATTATACACTGTGACTCCAGATTAAGGATTTACAAACCTTTAAATACGTAAGATATGTAAGATAGAATTGGATAGAATAGACTAGAATAGCAACAGGCAAAGACACTCAGAAGAGAAAAACTGCTGGAAAAAAATTTACCAAAATGTTAACAGCAATTATCTCTGAGTGTAAAAACAGAGCCTTTTTTAAAAATTCACACTTTTACATTTTCTGATTTTTCTGCTCAGAACATATTCTACATTTATAATTTTAATAATTAAATTTACTCCTGTATTTGTTTCATAAGTGTTTATTGATTACTTATGTGTCAGGCATTATGCTGAGTACTAGAGATAAAGCTGGAAATAACACAGACCTGGGCCCTGCTTTTATGCAGCATAGAGTCTAATGGTGGAGACAATACTGAATCCCTAATCATAAGAGTAATTACTTTGTCCCATTAGGGGGTAAGTGCTGTGAAGGTGAAATATTGAGTGTTATGTGAGCATAAAATAGTGGGACCTAACCTGGTCCAGAATGGACCTCAGAAGGCTACTTGGAGGAAGTAACTTGAAAGCAGGAACCTGAAAGCTGAGTAGAAAGCATTAGTCACACAGGGAAGAGCTCCACGCAGAGAAAAGGAGTCGGGAGGAGTTTGAAGTGTTGGAGGAACTGGAAGGGGACCAGTGTAGCGTAGGAGATGCAAACGGCCGGTGGGGCTAGCGTGTAGTGAGCAAATGGAGAACAGCTCAGGATGCAGCAGGGCCAAGATTAGGCAGGACCCGCAGTTAAGTTTTGAAATCAAAGCTGATGATTAAAAGCCACAGCACAGTGTAATGGTAGACAGCAGGTAATTGTTGGTTGTAATTGCTTTGGTCTCACTTAGCCAGAGACTCTTTTTGTAACCAGTGTGATTGTCAAGCAAGGTTCTGCTCCTTGAGAATAGAATAGGGAGGTTTGGTGAGAACAGATGGATGATAAAACAAGGGCTTAGAAGTCCCCAAGGGTATGTGTGCCTCTACACCAACTGAGCCATAGAACACTGCGCACCTGCTTTGGGGGCCTTCTGTATGCCTGGGAGGGGATTCAGCCTGTCCTGGATGAGGTTCAAGGTGGGTCCAGGCTGGATTCCAGGTACATTCATCCATAGACTCCTTGGCTTCAGGCCTCACAATCACTTAAACCGCTGTGCTCATGAGTAATATATTCTCTTTCAGTACCTCCCCTCAGTAAAATGGCAAATGATAGAGTGGGACATTATGACATTATTATTTAAATCCCCAGCCAGGAAATAAAAGCCAACTGGAGGAGCATCAGTTATATATTACCTCCCATTGTCTGCAATTTGATTGGCTAATTAAGAATTTTGAGCCATAACCTAACCAGTGTGATAAAGAGTAAGCACAGAAATGCTCTATCATTCTGCCAGTGTTTTGATATAACAGTAACCAGTGGAGACACCATTAAGTTGAAAAGAAGGTATCAACACAGGAACATATTACTACTCTGTTGAGCTTTAGCAGATTAATGGGAGACATGAGCTGATTGATGACTGTTAGCTGAAACAGACACCAACAACTATTTTTCAACTGACATTATTTCCTTGCAAACTGCATCTTGGCGTACACTGATCTGGAGTTGATCTGCTTTGTGTGTTCAGCCTCTTAGCAATGGAGGGAAAGTTATGGTTTTATTTACGTCTCTCCCTGAGCAGATTTATACACACACATCCACCCTCCCCCTCAAGGGATCCGGGGATGTATTACCTAAATGATCCTTACTTTCTGTAGGGTACAAACTGTGGCTTTGGTAATTGGTCTTGATTGTCAAGTTTAGAAGGCCAGGAACATGGTAATTCTAGCCTCCAGTACTCTACTTAAAATGTGCACTACCCACTACAGCGTTCTTTGTAGCATGTTAATTCATTTTAAAATGTTAAAAGTTTGAGGGATCTCATTGTTCTATTACTCTTCTGTGTGTATGATTTATTTTGCAGGAATATAAATCAAAACATATTCTTGGAACATGTAAGATCTCTTTAAGGTATTTTCTGTGCTTATCCTGGAAGTATAGAATAGTTTGTATACCAGAGCTAATGACAACAGATCTTGTAGTGTTTCTGTGTTGTAGCAATCGCCACTGGGCAGACAGCTGCCAAACATCTTGCAATTAATCTGATGCATGTTGGCTTTCAATTCTTTTTCTTTCAGAACAAATGCCCTGAGGTAGAGGAGCTGGTCTTCAGCCATTTTGTGATCTGTAATGACACACAGGAGACACTGCGGTTTGGCCAGGTGGATTCTGATGAAAATATTCTGCTGGCGAGTCTCCATAGTCACCAGTACAGCTGGCGCTCTCACAAATCCCCACAGGTATTTGAGAAACAGCCTTACAAACAGTGCAATTGTTAAGGTAGGGAACTCATTTATTCTGCACTTGTGTGCCTGTGTCCAGTTAGTTCCCTTTTTAAGTCTCCCAGGGAACCACACCGTGTAGCTCCAGCTGACGTAAACTCAGGATGTTTGGGGTAAGAGCACAGGGTGCCCACAATTCTCATGGAAGGGACCGTTCTCCCTTTCAGCAGGGGTGCTGTTCAGGCAGCAGGCTGTGATGACCAGGAGGCTGCTGTCTAGGCTGGAATCTGGCCCCGGGCAACCTTGCTTTGCTTTCTGTGCCTTGGTGTCCTCATATGTGAAGTGGGGATGATAATAGCACCTATTTTATAGGGCCGTGAGAAGTAAACAATTTGTATAAGGTACTAAAATAGTGCTTGACATACCGTAAGCATTATGTGCTGGGTAATGTTATTCATTTATTCCCATTTTTACTGTGTACGTACTCTGTGCCACGCATGTGCTAGGTACTAGGAATTCAGACAGGGAAGTCACAGTCCTTGTCCTCCAAGGACAGCTCAGAATATGTGGAAAGTGAGCACAATGACAAAATACGCTCAAGGGAGCACTGAGTAAAGCCATACCAAAGGACGTCTGTTTTCCAAGCAGTATAATCCCATTTTCCTGTCACTTTAGATGGGAATAATTAGAGGGATCTGCCCTGCAGGGGTAATATGAGGATGAATTAAATACAAAGAGGTGGCCTTAAATGAGTAGAATAAATCCTAGGAAGTACTCTCAAGAATAATGTATTTCTAAAACTCTGGGTAATAAGGAAACTACTGTCTGCTTGTTATTAAAACAAAGTCACTAGATGAGAGAACAAGCATCTGGTCTATAGAGCAGCTTCAGAATATGTTATACCCTCAGGCTTCCTCTTGCTTTTTTCCCCCTCCCAGTAGCTAGGCTCTGATTTCTTACTTGCTTTTTCATCATATTGCCACACTGTTAGTATAAAATTTGGAAAAGGAGGGAAAGTGTACTTCTTCTTATATAACTATCTTTATCTAATTTCAATTAATCTGACAAGACATTAAAACTACATAAATCCTTTTTTAAATCAAAGTTCTTACAAAGATTTTTCATGAGGTGATACTGCACTCATGTTTATAAAGTGAATGATATGCCCTTATTTTCTAATTTTCCTCTTGAGAAATTTCCATGATAGAGTTTTTAAGTTACTGTTTGCTGTTTATACACATAAAGGGTAGTTTGTTTCAAAATAAGTGTTTTTTTCCCTTACTAATTGCAAATGTGAGAAAATACAGATGTATAGACCAAAAAAAAAAAAGAAAATGACCACCTGTAATTTCAGCCACTCAGAGACAACCCATGTGAATCTTTGTTTATAGCCTTTTAGATATTTGAAAGGGTTCCTTGATCACTGCTTTCCCACCAATGAACTAGTAATGATAGGAAACAAACCTCTGAGAAGCTGCAGTACGGTGTGATCGTCTGCATAGTTCAGCCACGTCACCCACTCACATGCCACAGCTCAGGCCATGTGGAAAGCAAAGCAGAGGAAACTTAACTCCCTCACAGTCATTCGAAGATGCATAGACACCTATGGTCCATGGTGACCCTCAATATTCCATGGATACTGGAGGCAGAGCGGGAAGGGTGTTCTTTGTAAGAACAGCTGGCTCAGGATACAGAGGCAGGTGTCTCCATTTTACGGACATGCAGTGACTGAGTGGGAAGGAGATAAATAGGAGAGAAGGACGGACCACCACACCACTACACCTTTCACAGCTACACTCTTGCACTTTTTTCAAGGTCTTTTTTGTGTGCATTACTAGCTTAGCTTTCACAATATCCCTATGTGATTTGAGTTATTGTTAGGCCTATTTTATAGCTAAGGAGACAAACAGAAATGTTAAGCTAAGATGGTGGTGGAGTTGGGACTGAATCCCATGTCTTTTGATTCTCAATATAGTGTTATTTCCACAACACTGCCAAACTCTCCTAGGTTTTGGCAGTTATTTGTCTATAGGAATAAACAGGCTGTGAGGTTTTAAGAAAGGGCCTGAAAAATCACTAGTATAATATGCCACATTTAAAGCTAGACTAATATGGAATTCTTAGTCCAAGCATGAATCCATGCAAAGCCTTAACTGTATTACCAAAAACATTAATAATGTTTTCATGACAAACTGGAAACAAGACAGGTGCCTGCTAAATGTTTTTTCTTTTTAATTTGTAACTGAATCCTCTGTATAAAATTTTAAGATGAGCTGTTGACATTAAGATCTTTAAGCTAAAACTTGGATCAAATCTGTAAAAAAAAACACAGTTTCTCTTTACTACAGCCACATTGGCTGAAGGAAATGTATTTTAGGACCCTCTGAAGCCAGAGATCTTAATCAGCCCAGGGGGTCTTCATGGGATTCCTTAACATCCACAACTGCAAGGTCTGCTGTATTCTAATGCAAGGTTACATCTGAGGATCAGAAAAACTAGCTTGACACAGCACCTGGAAGCAGTCAGAGACTCACAAGTGAGCAAACTGTTCCTTTTTCCAGACTCCAAGTCATATCCTGCATTGCCCAGCAGGCTTGGTTTTAGGAACATTTGTGTCTGCATGTTTATGCTACCTTGGGTGTTAGTCAGTTCATAGTCTCAGGGAGGATTTCTCAAGTTCATAGAATTTAACTCCACTAAACAATGAAGCTTGTATTGCCGACATCAAGAAAGTGGCGATGGCACCTGGAAAGGTTTCAAAGAGGTCAACTTATCTTAGAACCACACAGGAGGTTGCTAACAACATTGAGTCCCAACAGGATGAGAAGAAACACAGGCACAACCAATTCCAGACATCCAAAGCTGAAAAACTTTTTTAGAACTGAAAAGTTACAAACTCTCCTTATAGTTTATAACATGCTCTGAGGCAAAATCACTTAAAATGCTGGATATCCCACAACAGTTGCTTGCCTACACAAACAAAGTAAGAACACAACTATTTCCAAGGAAATAATGGAGCATATTCAGCTGCACAGTCATATATGCCACCGCAAAGGGCCCTTAAACATCCCAGTGCGGGCGACTTCAGATCAGCTTGGGCAAGAACAAAAACCAGTAAGGGACTGGTCTTCAAAGAAGTACTTCACATGTAAAGCTGATCTAAGGACTGAAAGTATGAGTTTTTGGAATCTTTCCCCAGAATATGGACATTATGTGCAGCTTAGAATCATGGGAAGCTTGGTATAATTTAGCCAAACTGAAGGTAGTGACAATTCCATCACCTAGTAGGGTTTGTGTATGGGCTGTTCAAGGTAACTTCCTTCCTGACTAAATAGAAAGCACTGTTGGCTAAGTTTTTAGTGGTCAAACCATCAGGCAGGGTGAAAATGGGCTCTAGACAGAGCTTGAGAAAATAGTAAAATATTGCTCCAAAATAAATGTAAGAAAAAGTTCCATGAATTCATTAAGTGGCAGATATTTTAAAATGCAAAATGTAACAAGGTAAGAATTAATTTTGAAAAGCAGCAGAGCATCTGGGAAATACTCATTAAAGTAATCAAATTTAGTGGAGAAAATATAAATCATAACATTACTTCAAGGCAGAGGTTGGCAAACTTTTCCTGTGTAGTAAGTGTTTTAAGCTTTGAGGGCCTTTACATTCTTTCTTGTAGGTATTCAACTCTTTACAAAAGCAGTTATAACAAATGAGTGCGATGTGTTCCAATAAAATTTTATTTATAGACAATGAAATTTGAATTTCAATAATTTTCGCATATCACGAAATAGTATTCTTCTTCTGATTTTTTTCAACCATTTCAAAATGTAAAAACAATTGTTAGCTCATAGGCTATACAAGAATACGCAGTGCAACCAAATTTGGCCCACAAGCCATAGTTTGCCATCTCCTGCTTTTAAGGTCTCAGTTGACAAAATTCGATAGACGATAAACTAAAGGTTTGATATTAAGTCGTTCTCACTCTGATCTAAATGGTATTCTTATCACTGGTAATCTTGGTAAGCTGTTTCAGAATTAAGAAACGACTGCTAATAGTTTAAATCTAACACTTAAGTAATCAATCTCTACTCACCACATAACTAAAATATTTTTATTGTACTTGCTCTGGGCCTGTATAGACAAGAAGTTCTCTGGTTCCCTTTTCTGGATATAAAAATATTTTAAAGTAAGATCTGATCATTTTCCCTCAAATAATAAGTTTTTAGTATTTGCCTGTCACATAGTGATTCCAGTTGTCAGTTCCACCGACTAGACTACTGCTCACCCGACTGCCACTCCCCCCCGCCACCCACCCATGCCCAGTTATATAACCCGCTTGCTCATACCCACATTCCTTGTAGCTACAGTTACAATTTTAAAAATTTAAAAGCAAACTTAATGAAGGCAAGGACATATTCTGTGTTGGCAAAACTGTTCAAACTGGTAAACTTTTTGGGTGTTCACCTCTGCTGTTATATGGTGCATGGTATGTATGGTGAAGTGTTCACAAAGGGCAAATGAAAAGAGAATCTTAAAAACAGAAGGTACAAGTGGAACTGATTCTTTCTAGAAAACAATTTGATAAGCAGCATTGAAGCTCTTAAAGTCGCCTTAGCCTTTGACCCAGTAAATCTCCTACTAGTAAACCTACTCTCAGGAAATAATCCAAACTAAAACAAAGGTTTATACAGAAAAATGCTTATCACAATTTTATTTTTAGTATCAGAAATTCAAATGTTCAATAAAATCTGGCATATCTGTAAGATGAACTATTAATAGGACCTTTAAATTTTTATATAGAAAAGGGAAGTGCTACCATATCATATCAACCAGAAAACCGGAATATGAGATTCTATATATACAATATGGTCTTAACAACATAAGAAAAATGCTGTGTAGAAAAATGCTGGAAGGAAGTATGTCAGAATATTACTAGTGGGTGCCTCTGAATTGTGGGTTAAGTTGATATTTTTCCATTTTATTAATGTTTTTATATATTTCTCAACTTTTTAAATAAGTGATA